TATGTAATCATTGCACTAGAAACAGGGCCGCAGCAGCCGCTGGGTTTTGCTTAGTGTGCAGAAATTAAAATGGAGCAACCGGAGAAGCAAGTCAACAGAGCGCTAACAGACTCCAGCACTGATCTAGATAACTGTAACGTCATTAAGAATCCTTAGAGGGATGATATTATCCCAAACTGAGCACCATTCTCCTACCACTAAGGGATAACAGGCCCTGGATGTGCGGTACTAACAGATGTAACTAGCATTAAGCCAGTCCTACGGCATTCTCTGGTGGCCAAACTGATATCTACTGAGATGATGTCTAACTAGAAAGTGAGGCCGCAAATCTTGTTACAGAAAAGTTACGTGTTGCTGCAAGCAGAATGCAGACCGCAGGGCTGGGAGTGATGACACCCTCATGCCTCAACAGTCTTCTAATCTAATTACACTGAAACACAAATGGTGTCAGTGACATTTCTCAGCCTGATGTTACTACATTTGTGGCTTCACTGTTACATCATGTCTGAGCTTCCTCCCAGGACAGTCTATGCTGGCATGTGTCAGGTTTTAAACCCATCTTAAAAAGTAAAACTTTAGAAAGGCTCGGGGTTAAAACAAATTGGGACACAGTTCTTACCCCATAACAGGAAAGTGTCTGAACAAGAACCTTCACAGCAGGACCACCAGATATTATTTTAATGAATCATTTTTGAAAATTAGACTTTAGTGGTTGGGTTTACATTTACTTTATTATTCTCTTTACAGTTGGACAACATGCATCCAAATAATGATTTATGTAGATCAGGGATCCACAAACTCAAAAGGGCCAGTTCACTGTCCTTAAGACTGTAGGGGGGGCCAGACTATGTCCAGTTGGAATAGAAAATGCGCCGGTGTCAGTTGGAATAAACAACGCCCCAGGTTCAGTGGTCAGTTGGAGTAAAAAAAATTACCTAGCTCCTGTGTCAGTGGGAGGAGGAATAGTGCCCCATTGGTGGCATCAGTGGGAAGACGAGTGCCCCATCGGTGGCATCAGTGGGAAGAATAGTGCCCCATCGGTGGCATCAGTGGGAAGAATAGTGCCCCATCGGTGGCATCAGTGGGAAGAATAGTGCCCCATCAGTGGCATCAGTGGGAAGAATAGTGCCCCATTGGTGGCATCAGTGGGAAGAATAGTGCCCCATCGGTAGCATCAGTGGGAAGAATAGTGCCCCATCGGTAGCATCAGTGGGAAGAATAGTGCCCCATCGGTAGCATCAGTGGGCAAGAATAGTGCCCCATTGCAGGTGTTAGTGGGAGGAATAGTGCCCTCTCATTGGTGTCAGTGGGAGAAATAGTGCCCCATTATTGGTGTCAGTGGGAGAAATAGTGTCCTATAAATGGTATCAGTGGGAGGAATTTTTGTACCCCATTACAGGTGTTAGTGGGAGGAAAAGTGCCCTTTCATTGGTGTCAGTGAGAGGAATAGTGCCCCATTGCTGGTGTCAGTGAAAGGAAGTGCCCCAAATGCAAGCAATGGGCTGCATCTGGCCTGCAGTGTGTAGACCACTGGTCTAGTACTAGAATGTATTTGTAATTCCAGAGGAAACCTGCACATTTGTGGTATCAAATCGGCTAAAAAGGGGACAAACCTAGCAGGACACAGACAAATGCACCCAAACCAATCTCCCTTCCCATGCAAGCACAACAAAAGTATTTATTTTTTTAACTAACTGATTACACTAACTATAGCGTAATCATTCTGCCAATACAATACGTATGGATGTGGTTTAGTAGGAAATTATATGTGTTACACCAAAGGAGTGGAGTCTACACCAAACGGGTAATGTGGCAAAAGGGCGAGAGGAGGGGGAAAAGGGCGAGAGGGGGGGGAAAAGGGCGAGAGGG